TGCCCCCCGCCCCGCAGAGCTGCCTCTCCCTCTCCATCTCTCTCTCTCTCTCTCTCTTTCTCGATGTCCCTGACTCCTTCAATCTCTCCCTCACTATACGTCTCTCTCTCTCTCTCTCTCTGCATCGTCAAAACATGTTCCCTGGAGGTCCCGTCGAAACCTCCAGAGACTACCCGGAGCCCTCTCGAACCCACCAAGAACCCTCCGGGGGGCTCGAGAACGCTCCTGTTGCCTTTCGGGCCTCGCCTGAAACCCCTGGGGAATCTTTGTTTGGGGGGGGGGGGGGGGGAAACATCCAGGAATCTCCGACGGGCCCTGTGCTCAGGGAGCCCCTGGGGGGGGCCCGCAACCTTCCAGAAAACCTCGGGGGGCCCGAGAAGCTTCCAGGAACTGCCCCCCTCGCACCCCCTCGCAGGAACCTTCCAGAGGTCTCGGAAGCGCCCTCGGAACCGAGCTCCACCGAATGCCTGAATGCCAACGTTCGCATGCGCCCGCCGCACCCATTTTGGCACGCCCCTCACACGTTCGGTGCCCCCATCGGGAGCTCCACCGACGGTCCCAATGGCTGCGTTCAACTCCGCCCGCCGCACCTACTTTGGCACGCCCCTCACACGTTCCGTGCCCCCACAGGGAGCTCCACCGACGGTCCCAATGGCTGCGTTCAAGTGCGCCCGCCGCACCTATTTTGGCACGCCCCTCACACATTCCGTGCCCCCATAGGGAGCTTCACCGACAGTCCCAGTGGCTGCGTTCGTATGCGCCCACCGCACCCATTCTGACACACCACTCACACGCTTCGTGGCCCTATAGGGCGCTCCACCGACGACCCCAATGTCTGCGTTCGTATGCGCCCACCGCACACATTTTGGTACACCCCTCACGCGCTTCGTGGTCCCATAGGGAGCTCCACCTAAGGCCCCAGTGTCTGCGTTCGTATGCGCCCACCGCGCCCATGTTGGCACAATCTTCCATGTTTCGCGGCCCCATCTGGCCCCAGTGGCTGCGTTCGCATGCGCCCACCGCACACATGTTGGCACACCACACGCACACGCATCGTGGCCCCATAGGGAGCTCCACCGACGGCCCAACTGCAAGCGTTCGCACGCGCTCACTGCGACCATGTTAGCACACCCCTCATACATTTTGTGACCCCATAGGGAACTCCACCGACGGCCCCTGTTAGGGGAACGAAACGTGACATAAACATAAAAACTCGGAGGTCCGCGCGGACTTCTCGGATCGGCGGTGGACCCCCCTCCCTGGCGCGCAGAGCGGAGGCGCCACCGGGGAGCCCCAGCGCCGATCCGAGACATCCGCGCGGACCTCCAGGTTGTTATGTTTATGCCACTTCTTGTTCCCCTACCTTTCGCTGCGTTCGCATGCGCCCACCACGCTCATGTTGGCACACCCTCACACGCTTCATGGCCCCATCGGGAGCTCCACCGACGGCCGCCACTTGTTGCCTTCGCATGCGCGCACCCCACCGAGGTTGGCACGCTCCTAAGACGCTTTTTCGTGGCCAGAGAGGGGGCTCCTCCGACTGCTGTGCACACCACGACGGTATTCACAACATCATCTGGCTGAGTTCTCCGCAGAACGATGTGCATTACACTTCGGACCGCGAAGACCTCTGCCAACCTCTGCAGACGTCGGGGCGCCTCCAGAAATGCAGTCCTCGGGCGTTGGCAGGCCTGGGTTGAGCAGGACCTGGTTTAAGGATTCGTAGTGGGGGAGGTCCCCCCCCCGCCCCGTTCCACTGACCGGAACTGCCGTCGACCGAAAAACAAAAACTATGGCAGACCTGGTTTGGTGATTCTGGTCAATTGAGGGGCTCCGGGGCCCTACCACTAACCGGGTGCACTCTCCTGGGGTCATGGCTATACCAAGAGCTCCCAACTTCGCGCTTCGCGCTGCGCGAACCGCGAATCACTTCGCGCTTTCGCGCCGCCTCCCAATGGAGAAAAGGAGGATGAGGGATCGGAGCCGAACCGCGAAGCGCGAATATATTCGCGCCCTCGAGGGCGCCCTTGCTATACCCGAAAACCTCCTTCTGAACCCGCGCACCTCCTGTGCGGCGGGCCTTGACCAGAATTCCAGAGGGTGCCTGGCCGTGCCGACGAGACGGCCGACGGACGCCGAAAAAGCGCGGCAAGCGTTTGTTGAGGGGGGGAAGGATTTAGCATATACCAAAGTACAAGGTTTCGTTTAGCGCTATCAAGAATGTTACCCAGCGTGGACCCCAAGCAATGTTTCTATCAATAGTTATTTGTATATATATATATATATATACTAGAACCACGCGCGCGCTTCGCGCGCGCTTAGGTTCTAGTCACACTTGCGCCCACTCTTAACATTGGCAATGCCGCCGCGGCTACGACTTCTTTTTGCGCCATCACCGCGTTCACGATCACTTCCGATTCCATGTCCATTCTGGGCATGACCACCTTTTCCAGGACGATTGCACTTTCCGCGACCATTGTAACGGCCATGCGTTCAATCTCCGACTGTACCACCACCAATACCACGACCATTGCCACTGCCACTGCCGCGACCACCACGACCACCATCATCACCACCACGGCCAGTGCCACCACGTCTACCCTCGTAATCATCAGTAGCACCACGATCGGCCCACGAACTGCAGTCATCTCCACCTGGACCCCATCCGGGGCTGTCCTGGGTGAGGAGAGAACGGTCGGCACGCTCGCCCCGGGGTCGGGTTGCCACCATCCTTTTTTGGTGGGCCTGGGGCCGGTTCAGAGGCACCGGTGGCCGAGAACGGCCTCAGGAAGCGAAGAAATGCCCGGAAGCTTCGGGAGCAGCAGAAGTACCCGAGGGCGTCCGGTCAGAGGGTTGTGTGGGGCCTCTTGGGGGCCTCTCGGGGGTCTATCGGAGGGTTCTTGGAAGCCTGTGGGGCCGCTTGGGGGCCCCCTGTGGGCCTATCGGGGCCGAGGGCCCGCAAAATCAATCGGATCCCCTGTCTTGGGGGCCTCTTGGGCCGTCTTGGGCGGCTCTTGGGCCGTCTTGGGGCTCTTTGGAAGCCTCCTGGGCCGTCTTGCGGCTCTCTTGGGCCGTCATGGGGCCTTTTGGGCCGTCTTGGAGCTCGCTTGGGGGCCTCCTGGGCTGTCTTGGGGCTCTCTTGGGCCGTCATGGGGCTCCCTTGGGGTCCTCTTGGGCTGTCTTGGGGCTCCCTTGGGGGCCTCCAGGGCCGTCTTGGAGCGTCGGAAAGCTGGAAAAGCGAGAAAGCAAGACACATTGCAAAAACAAATGAAAATCAACGTTTTTGGCCTCGTGAGGCCATCTCGGAACGCCTCTCGGAGCTCTCTGGGGGGGTTCTTGGCGGCCTCTGGGGCTGCTTGGGGGCCTCCTGGGCGCCTCTTGGGGCTCCTGGGAGCTTCTTGGGGCCGACGGCCCGAAAAGTCCATTCGGATCTCCCCGTCTTGGGGGCCTTTTGGGCCGTCTTGGGCGGCTCTTGGGCCGTCTTGGGCCCGCGGGGGGGCCTCCTGCGCCGCCTAGAGGCTCTCTTGGGCCGTCATGAGGCTCCATTGGGGTCCTGTTGGGCCGTCTTGGGGCTCCCGTGGGAACCTCCAGGGCCGTCTTAGAGCGTCGGAAAGCTGGAAACGCGAGAAAGCAAAAAACAGTATGAAAACCAACGAAAATCAACGATGGTGGCCTCGTGAGGCAATCTCGGAACGCCTCTCGAAGCTCTCTGGGGGGGTTCTTGGAGGCCTCTGGGGCTGCTTGGGGGCCTCCTGGGCGCCTCTTGGGGCTCCTGGGAGCTTCTTGGGGCCGACGGCCCGAAAAGTCCATTCGGATCTCCCCGTCTTGGGGGCCTTTTGGGCCGTCTTGGGCGGCTCCTGGGCCGTCTTGGGGCCCGCGGGGGGGCCTCCTGCGCCGTCTAGAGGCTCTCTTGGGCCGTCATGAGGCTCCATTGGGGTCCTGTTGGGCCGTCAGGGGGCTCCCGTGGGAACCTCCAGGGCCGTCTTAGAGCGTCGGGAAGCTGGAAAAGCGAGAAAGCAAAACACATAGAAAAAACAACTGATTATTAACGATTTTGGCCTCGTGAGGCCATCTTGGAACGCCTCTCGGAGCTCTGTTGGGGCCGTTTCAAAGTCTATAGGGCGGTCTGTTTGCCGTCTTGGGCCCATCTTTGGCCACGTTGGGGCCATCCAAACTTTCTGGGGGAGGCTTTTGGAGGCATCCCAGGGACTTCTGGGAGCGTCCTGGGCCTCTCTGGGGCGGTCTGGCGCCTCCAGGGGCGTCCCAGGGGCGCCCCAAGAGCCCCGGAACCCCCATGCGCACCCGAGGTCGCGGTCCCGGGCGCCCTGGTCTCGTGCACGGAGATATCGATATATATATATATATATATATATATATGTTCACACCCTGTGTGCAGCAATGTATGGGGTGCAATCTAGATGGTGCAAGGTATGTTGTGCAATCGATGTTGTTCCACATCTGTCGTTCAGCATATCTTGTGCAGTCCATGTGGAGCAACCTACGTGGTGCTACGGCAACCACACGGCGGCGAACACGATGCACAGGATCAGACAATGGTCGGCGACGAGGCGGCGAAGGCGACGTCTCAACAGGCAGACTGACGCGCAGGCCCAGACGACGGGCGGCGTCCTCAAAGGCAAACCTCATTTGGGCAATGTATTCCAGGTGCCAAAAAAGACGTTCCTGGCCGCGCCGTGCGAGATATCCTCGGACAAATACCTGCTGGTTAGTTGGCTGGCCAAACTACCTGGTTGGTTGTTTGGTCCGCTGGTCACTCTGGTCGGTTGGCTGGTCGGCTGGTTTGTTGGTCGGTTGGCCCGCCGGTTCGTTGAGCGGTTGGTTGATCGGTTGCCCTGCAATACGAATACTAATAATAAGAATAATAGAATAAGACTAATAATACTAAGACTATCAAGAATGATTACCCCAGTGCGACCCTACCTAGAAGTTGGAGCCCCTAGGAAAGCAGCATTCGTTGCTATGCTATGCTATGCTATGCC